CGCACATTCTTTCCCCCCTCTGTCCTCGCCCTCTGTCCCCTATCGGAGCACCTACCATCCCCCCTCTGCCCTCTCCTTCTTTCCCCTATTGGAGCAACTTCCTTCCCCCCTCTGTCCTCGCCTTCTCCCCCCCTCTGTCCTCTCATCCTTCCCCCTCTCAGTGCACCTTCTCCCCATCTCTGTCCTCTCCTCATTCCCCATCTAAGTGCACTTTCTCCCCACCTCTGTCCTCTCCTCCTTCCCCCTCTCAACGCACCTTCCCCCCCCCTCCGTCCTCTCCGCCTTCCCCCTCTCAGAGCAGGCGCTATACGCGTGTGTGGGTGTTTTGCGCGCGGCAGTTTTGTAGGCGCGTGGTGCCTACTGACGTGGTTGCGCTTTTGAGAAAGGGGGTTCGTTGCATTACTGTGGTTTGGGCGCTGATGTTTAGTAGGCTCATGGCTAATGCTGCCGGTGCGCGCGCATATGCCTCGGTGGCGCGTGAAATTACAGTCGCATGCGCGCTGATGCTAAAGAGGCGCCAGATGCCTACAGCGGGGCGCACTCAGCTGCTTGCGGTGTGCGCGCTGCTTACAGCTGGGTGCGCGACCCTTAGGGGGAGGTGTCCGCGCGCTCACCGGCAGCCTACACGCCTTTCACGCGTCACTCATTTGGCCTATTTCCTTACGGCGAGCACCTCCCTTCCCCCTCTAACAGCAACTCCCAACCCTACTCACACATCACCTCTTTCACCCTCTCACAGCACCTCCTTTCACCCTCTCACAGCACCTCCCTTCCCCCACCCTCCTCACATCGCTTCCCCCACCCATTCCCCCTCTCACAGCACCTCCCTTCCCCCACCCATCTCACCTCCCTTCCCCCTCTCTAGTAGAACCTCCCTTCCCCCTCTAACAGCACCTCCCTTCCCCCACCCACAGCATCTCCCTTCCCCCTCTCACAGCTCCTACCTTCCCCCACCCACAGCATCTCCCTTCCCCCACCCACAGCATCTCCCTTCCCCCTCTCACAGCTCCTCCCTTCCGCCACCCACAGCATCTCCCTTCCCCCTCTCACAGCTCCTACCTTCCCCCTCTCACAGCTCCTCCCTTCCCCCTCTCACAGCACCTCCCTTCCCCCTCTCACAGCTCCTACCTTCCCCCACCCACAGCATCTCCCTTCCCCCACCCACAGCATCTCCCTTCCCCCTCTCACAGCTCCTCCCTTCCCCCACCCACAGCATCTCCCTTCCCCCTCTCACAGCTCCTACCTTCCCCTTCTCACAGCTCCTCCCTTCCCCCTCTCACAGCTCCTCCCTTCCCCCTCTCACAGCTCCTACCTTCCCCCACCCACAGCATCTCCCTTCCCCCACCCACAGCATCTCCCTTCCCCCACCCACAGCATCTCCCTTCCCCCTCTCACAGCTCCTCCCTTCCCCCACCCACAGCATCTCCCTTCCCCCTCTCACAGCACCTCCCTTCCCCCTCTCACAGCTCCTACCTTCCCCCTCTCACAGCTCCTCCCTTCCCCATCTCACAGCACCTCCCTTCCCCCACCCACAGCATCTCCCTTTCCCCACCCACAGCATCTCCCTTCCCCTTTTCACAGCTCCTCCCTTCCCCCTCTCACAGCACCTCCCTTCCCCCTCTCACAGCTCCTACCTTCCCCCTCTCACAGCTCCTCCCTTCCCCATCTCACAGCACCTCCCTTCCGCCACCCACAGCATCTCCCTCCCCCCACCCACAGCATCTCCCTTCCCCCTCTCACAGCTCCTACCTTCCCCCTCTCACAGCTCCTCCCTTCCCCCTCTCACAGCTCCTCCCTTCCCCCTCTCACAGCACCTTCCTTCCCCCACCCACAGCATCTCCCTTCCCCCACCCACAGCATCTCCCTTCCCCCTCTCACAGCTCCTCCCTTCCGCCACCCACAGCATCTCCCTTCCCCCTCTCACAGCTCCTACCTTCCCCCTCTCACAGCTCCTCCCTTCCCCCTCTCACAGCACCTCCCTTCCCCCTCTCACAGCTCCTACCTTCCCCCACCCACAGCATCTCCCTTCCCCCACCCACAGCATCTCCCTTCCCCCTCTCACAGCTCCTCCCTTCCCCCACCCACAGCATCTCCCTTCCCCCTCTCACAGCTCCTCCCTTCCCCCTCTCACAGCTCCTCCCTTCCCCATCTCACAGCACCTCCCTTCCCCCACCCACAGCATCTCCCTTCCCCCACCCACAGCATCTCCCTTCCCCCTCTCACAGCTCCTCCCTTCCCCCACCCACAGCATCTCCCTTCCCCCTCTCACAGCACCTCCCTTCCCCCTCTCACAGCTCCTACCTTCCCCCTCTCACAGCTCCTCCCTTCCCCATCTCACAGCACCTCCCTTCCCCCACCCACAGCATCTCCCTTTCCCCACCCACAGCATCTCCCTTCCCCTTTTCACAGCTCCTCCCTTCCCCCTCTCACAGCACCTCCCTTCCCCCTCTCACAGCTCCTACCTTCCCCCTCTCACAGCTCCTCCCTTCCCCATCTCACAGCACCTCCCTTCCGCCACCCACAGCATCTCCCTCCCCCCACCCACAGCATCTCCCTTCCCCCTCTCACAGCTCCTACCTTCCCCCTCTCACAGCTCCTCCCTTCCCCCTCTCACAGCTCCTCCCTTCCCCCTCTCACAGCACCTTCCTTCCCCCACCCACAGCATCTCCCTTCCCCCACCCACAGCATCTCCCTTCCCCCTCTCACAGCTCCTCCCTTCCCCCACCCACAGCATCTCCCTTCCCCCTCTCACAGCACCTCCCTTCCCCCTCTCACAGCTCCTACCTTCCCCCTCTCACAGCTCCTCCCTTCCCCATCTCACAGCACCTCCCTTCCCCCACCCACAGCATCTCCCTTTCCCCACCCACAGCATCTCCCTTCCCCTTTTCACAGCTCCTCCCTTCCCCCTCTCACAGCACCTCCCTTCCCCCTCTCACAGCTCCTCCCTTCTCACTCTCACAGCACCTCCCTTCCTCCATTCCGCCTCTCATTCCGCCTCCCACGCGGCCTCTCCTTCCGCCTCTCCTTCCGCATCTCAAGCCGCCTCTCATTTCGCCTCTCATTTCGCTTCTCATTCCGCCTTCAATTCCGCCTCTCATTCCGCCTTCTATTCCGCCTCTCATTCCGCCTTCTATTCCGCCTCTCAGTACGCCTCTCGTTACGCCTTTCATTTCGTCTCTCATTCCGCATCTCATTCCGCCTCTCCTTCCGCCTCTCATTCCCCCTCTCACGTATCTCTCATTCCGCCTCTCTTTCCGCCTCTCATTCCGCCTCTCATTCCCCCTCTCATTCCGCCTCTCATTCCGACTCGCAGGCCGACTCTAATTCCGCATTTCAGAAAGCCTCGCATTCCGCCTCTAATTCCGCCTCTACTTCCGCATCTCACGTCGCCTCTCATTCCGCCTCTCATTCCGCCTCTCACGCCGTCTCTCATTACGCCTGTCATTACGCCTCTCATTACTCCTTTCATTTCGCCTCCCATTACGCCCACCAATACGCCTCTCATTAGGCCGTGTACTCTCATTTCTAACACTACAGCCATTCACTTAGTGCTCGTAAGGGCCTCGTAAAGGACGGGCCTACGATATCGACGCCATTCTATCGCCCCACCTTTCTCTCGGGTAACAACGCGGAAACATGTAGGCTCACCTAATCCAGGGGCAACGTTTGGGCGATGAAAGCCGGTTCGGGGCAGCGTGGCGTGGGCAGTGGATTGTCTGGGGTTGGCGTGGCCGGTTCTATAGTCTCACACGGGTCGCGTTGTTGTCGACGACAGGTCAGATTGTAGCAGAGGTGGGCGGAAAGGGCATACGATGTGTGGGGCATCGATGATTGGGTGATGATTTCTAACCAGTTTGCGGGTTTTTCCTGTAGGGCTCCAGACTAGGACATGTGTCTAGGTCGTAAAATACTTGGTGCAGAGTGCCTTTTGAGATATTGACGAGTTCTCAGTCTCATATTTCTGAGCTGTGTAAAACGCTTGGTTTGCAGGGACGAGAGGGCGACGGTCCAGTTGTCGCACGAGGCAGCGTTCACAGCATTATTTGTCGCGCAGGAGTGCTTGCCAACCCAACCTGCTTTGGCGTATGTGCGCACCCAATTAGAGTGCACGTTGCAAACCCAAACCACCCCACCCACACTTCCCCGAAACTCAACCCTTGCCTGGGTGAACTTTGCGACAAAGCAGTCTGTTACCCTATATCAAGCGTTTAACACTTGGATGCCAGGATGTAATTGGAGACGCGAGCGTGAAGACTACATCGCCAAGGCGTACTCCCAGAAGGTCGAAAGAAGAGCGGCCAACTGACCAACAATTGAAGGTGCCTTTTTGGCGACTAATAAGAATCAAGCCCCTAGGGGCAATTGCTACCTCCCTGCCAAATCAAAAAGAAATAAGCGTACGGATGAACAGTCTCTACGGGGAGTGAGTGTGGGTGGGTGTTGTGTGAAGGGGAGGGAGGTGCTGGAAAAGTGAAGCGGGAAGAAGGGGAGTTCGTTACTGATTTCTCAACGCAGTTGCCCCTCAAACCGACGATTTTTGTTTCCCAGCCGCCAGAATCAGGGCAGATAGCTGCGTTGCCCTGCTGCCACGATCGCAACAAGATTTGGGGGAGTCCAGCTGGATTTCGAAATTAGCAGTGGCATATGGACGACTTCAGCTAAAAATAAAGTGTACACATTCCAGATAATCCCTTGCGCAGAGGCTAAACAGAAACAACTAGCTGGAGTGTTCGAGACAATCCCAACTGTTTCGTGACCACCTTGTATCAGTTGCGAATTTGCATCTGGTAAGTGTGTGCCCAAGCGAAAAAAACGACAACCCAGTCACAATCACAATCCGGTGAGGTTGGTGATCTGTGTTGCAACTGTGGAAGGGGCCAGCACCGGGATGTAGATATAGCACTGCTTCTTGTGCACTTCATTACTAAGCCAAAAAAAGAACCTCCTAAAATATCATGGACCTTAATACCACATTTTACTCAGCACTGCATCTCTGCTGTCTAAATGGCAGGTCCATTTTCATACGCACCTTTTCCCGTATCACCTACATCCCCTATCCTTTCCCCTTTCCCTCCACCAGTCTCCTCATCTCCCTCCTCTTCCACCACCACCATCTCTTCCGGAGTGATTGCATCTTTTGAGAGACTAAGGGAATTGCTCGATCCCAACATCTGTCTTGTGCTATCTGACCCTCCTCTTCTCCACACCCCAGCACCACCCCTCCTCTTCCGTTGCTCCTTGCTGTCTGCACCCAGACCTGCTCCTGACTTGTCAGCTTTACAGTACATGCCGTATAGTATGAGTTGTGCCGTCCCTAAAACTGAACCAATGGAGTTAGGTATCTGTATGGGGGACCCAACGAAAAAGACAGACAGTAAGTGGAAAGGTTTTATAATACTGAGAAGAAGTAAAACTATGGAGGTGAGTGGAATGATGAAGGGAGCATGAAAACGGTAACCACTCCTAGTCTGGAATAAGGGGAAGTGTTGCGAGGATCTGTCCCGCACGATCACAGGTGTCTTACAATGATATAAATGTCCATGGTGTATACTCCATATGCTGCACGAGAAGCAAATTAGGAGAGGCGAGAGGGGAGGACAGGGGTGAGGGGGGGAGAAATTTGGGAGAGGTGGAGTCAAAAGGGTCTCCACCACAGGCAAAAGAGTTGGAACGGGACGAAGATTTCATGACATGGGACCAGAAAGAAAGGCATGCCATGCTCAATCAAAGCAACGCAATAAAGGAGGAGAAGATAGATACATCACTCTTGACACGAAACTTCACACTGTCAGAAACACGCAGAAGTGCACAGGCAGCAGTGATATGATACCACAGAGGGCACAACCCACGGGCCACACGCACCTGTCCAGGCGAGGCCATTGAGGAGGCAGCAGAGCGAGAGCAGCAGCGGCATGAACTCAACGCTCTTGGTGCGCACAACAGTGCGCATGATATCGAGTGGGCTGGCATACATGCCTATCGTCACCACCACGGCGCAGATTCCCAGGAAGCTGCTGCGCGTAGCCGGCGTGTAGAAGGCCAGGAAGGTGGTGAGGAGAATGGCACCGAAGAGCAGCAGCACCACGCCCACTGACACTGCTGTGCGGATCTGACGTGGGGGAAATGGGTGGGGAACGGCAGGGAAGAGAAGGGAGTGGGAGGTGGGGGAGGGGGGAGAAGAGGAGGATGTGGGAGGGGATTGAAGGGGTGATGATGAGGTAAGCATGGAAGGAGATGGGATGCAGATGCGAAGATGGTGTGGAGATTGTGCGGCATGGACGAGTGCTGCTCGCGGATCACGTGGAATGAACCAGAAGCAGAGATGGGCCGTGGGGAGAAAAGGCGACAGGGTGATGGGTTGCAAGAGAGAAAACTGGAGAGAGGAGGAGATCAAGCCATGTAAGGACCATTTGCTTTGGTCATGCCATGCCATGCCAGCAGCCCAATCCGTCCATGCCATGCCAGAGCCATTGAGGTGGTGTGGCATGTACATGCGCATCTGTTTGAATGAGTGATAGCTGGACGAATACGGCGGTGCAGAGTGGATACGGAAGGAGGGAGGGGGGTTGGGGCGAGCAGTAGGGGAGGTTGGTGGGGAGGGTGGGGAGCGGGGGTGGAAGAAGGGGGTGGGGGGGGTGGGGGATTTGGCAACCGAGGGAAGCAGAAGCGAGAGTACTTTGCCATTCACAATGAACAGGAGAAAACAGCCGCCACGGGCCAACCACCCTCCTGCCCCCCATCGTCCCCACTCATCCCCGCCACACCCCCTCCCTCCCCCCCTTCCCGCTCCCCGCAATCCCCCACCTTGGTACGCTTGGTGCCGAGAGCGAGGAAGGGGGTGATGTAGAGCGCAGCAAGAAAGGCGCCAGTGCCGTTGACAGTGGACACCAGCACTCGCCCGGACTCCACCACGGGCAGCCCGTACGTCGTCCATAGCAGGCAGTTGAACAGCGTCACCACGTAGGGCAGCTCCGAAAAGTCTCCGACTGACCGCGCGAGAAAGATCGTGCGCATGGTCTTGCTGCGGGAAGAGTGGGGGTAGGGGGAGAAAAGGGGGGAGGGGGGTGGGGGAACCAAAGGGGGCGGGGGAAGGGTACATTCACATAGGCGCGTGGTTGCGAGGGGGGAGTGGTGTCATGTTGGCCATTGCCCGCGGGTTAGGGATTGAGGAACAGAACTTGGGACGAAGAGGAGGAGAAGGAGCGGTGGATGAATGCGACTGGTGGATATAGAGAATGCGTGGACGAGAGGAGGGAAATGCAAGCGGGAGCAAAGTTGGGGAGAAGTTGGGAATGGGAGAGAAGGAGAGAATAATCAGTGGTAAGAAGAGGAGAAGAGAGCGCGGAAGGGAACGATGAAAGCGGTGATCGGGTGGTGAGGGCTTACACAGGGGAAAGGAAGAGAGCGAGAGCCGTCACATTGCCTGTAATTTGTGAGAAGAGGGAAAGCAGAGTGAATAAGTGATCGCGCGAAATTGTTGGGCTCAGGTTCACGTATGCGCGCGTGCGCGAGTGTCTCGCACAGACGTATGAGGCGGGTGCGGATAGAGGGAGTGATCTAAAGATCGGGGGAGTGCGCAGTGTTTCGTTAGTGAATGCGACTGGATGCGACTGGATGCGACGGGGCACGAGGTAACGACGACAAGAGCCACGAACCTAGAATACCGAGCATGAGCTTCACAGTAGAGTCGATCGGCCACGCCATGGCGCAGACCTCGGATCACGCAAAACAACCAAACGATCTAATCGAATTTCACGAATTCACGCTGCTTCGGCACGGAACAGTAACTGGCCCTGCCGGGACCCTTCTAGATCCCTTCCCTCGTGCCGTTTCGTCCCAGTACTGTCAGATACAGCTTCCTCCTGTTTCCAGACGTCTCAATACAGCTGCCTCTTCTTCCCCTCAACTTGCAGATGAGCGACGATCTTGGTTTTGCGCAGGAGTCACAACCGGAGGAAGGTAGGAGCGGAAATTATAGCCGTTGTTTAACGAGCGGTTGGATGGATTTCGGGTGTTAACGGCGATGACGACAATATCTGCCGGCAGAGATGTCGAGAAGAAGTATTGTCTTGAACAAACACCTCAGTGGGTTACGAGATCCTAGGTCTAAAGTGGTGTTGTTTCAGGCCTTACTCCGACAGGTTTGTTTTCCCGAGTAAGCAATCACTCCATCTCGCACCCCTAGCTGCGGCGATTACCACATAAGATGCGATTCGAGTAAACATAAGGTATTTCACATGGAACACTCGCACGGGAGAGAATATGCCAAGTTATTGTCACGTCAATCCTCTGCGGTACATCAAGCTTCACAGACAGCTGCTCCTCAGCGATGTTGGATGTCCATTCACGTTCCTCAAATCCATCACTACTGTACTCCCAGGCGCACCTGCCTGGCTGGCTGAGGACGCGGTAAGAATCGCAGGATCGTCTGCAAATATCGAGCCCAACAATCGAGTGGGCATATCGATCGGCGAAACATGGCGACCGCGACGTTGTAACGATCACACCTGAGAATTGACAGATCTCCCGCGATCAGTGATCAGTCGCATTCACACACTGTACAGAAATTTGTCCAAAAAGCGTACTGTAGCATGGTTACAACGCAGTAAATAGAGTAACCAATCTGCACATCGATCACGACTGACGATCGATCGTCTACTTTAACCGCGTCCTGAGAGCCCGAGAATCACTTGTCCAGAATCCTGATGGTGATGTCGGTGCAGTGTGGTGAGGAGAGGAGAGATGGGCAGCAGATCAGATGGAACAAGTGATGCGAGGGGGAAGGGCGGATTGGTGGCAGGGAATGAGGTGGTTCGCCGAATATATCTCAGCGGACAAGCGAGTCCGCTGGGATATTCTGCACTGAAATTGCGGGGTGAGGTGGTGCAGAAATGTAGTGTTTATTTCGTGCTTCGACTGGTTTACAGCTGATGTTTCTGTTTTTGGTTTTGCGGTACTGTGCAACACGACAGTTCAGGAGATTGTTTGTGTTGTGATGGAATATCCCAGCGGAAACGGGTCTTCAAGCCTGACAACCCATTGACGACTTGACGACATGCTGCCCTGGGCAGAAAAAAAACTAAAACCCTATCGGATGGCATGCCATCCGAGGGAGGCATCATCCCTAAATCCATGCCTCCTTGTGTTTAGGGTTGATGCCTCCCTAACCGGATGCATGCCCGAATGGGTTTTTTTTTTTGCCCGCGGGCAGCGAGCTCCCCCGGGCGAACTCGCTTGTCCGCTGAGATATATTCGGAGGCAGTAGCCAGTGTCAACGACTTCGACCTTTCCACATCGTCTGTTCTGTAGACTTAACAAACCCTTAGTGTATACCACTGGGGGCAGCCCGAAAACAGTTCAGCCGATGTCTACTCCTGGGAGAAGCGGCTCGATCCTCAACGGTCGTTTTATTTTCACTTGCCACGTGGAAACACAGCTCATCTAGGCAGATTGGAAGCTGAGCCGATCAAATGGCAAAGCAAAGCGTCTCTTCACCCTATTAGAGGTCCTTCGTGTGACTACACCCTGTTTCTCGCAATAGTCGAATTGGTTATACAAACAGAACAATATATAGAAACTCAATGCGGCCAATTGCGTTCCACGTTTCCTAGGGTTTCCAGGTCGACGAAGTAGGTTGACCTGCACGGGACCACTGCAAAGTCGCCGACGATGGGAAGTCGACGGCCGACATCGACTAGCGTGGTCGACGAGGGGGTTCGGCACAACTAGTCTGACCTTTGAGACAAATGAAGGCCACAAGACTAGTCCAAGTGTTTGCACATATACATAGATAGATATGGTACAACCAAAAGCAAGCAACAATGATCACGAAAGTAGCAAGCGAGAACCGCAAGAGACTAGTCCAAATATAGTGCAGAGTCGCTGATGGTCGCAAGACTGAAGTGCCTCGGTGAAGATGTCAGCAGCGTTGGCCTCTGGGGCTACTATAACCACCCATGCCAGGCCGCACTGCTGCAACTCGCGAAGGAGGAAGTACCACAGCTCAATGTGCTTCATGTTGCCCACCAGTCAAGGCTCCTGATACTACAGGATCATGGCCTTGTTGCGAAAAGGACCGGGGCAGTACCAGGCGGCTCACCCAGGTCGGTGAGCAGAAAGTTGAGCCAGCGAAGCTCCTTTTCTGCCATGGCACCAGTGTAGATTTCAGCGTCACAGCTAGACTGAGAAACTGATGACGCACGAGTCGGCCTCCAAGAGACAGCTCCAGATCTGAGGCTGAACCAGTAGCCCTGTGAAGACCTACATGACTTAACGTTGTCCACCCACAACGCATCAGTGTGCCCAACAAGCACAAGCCACATGTCTGATGTGCTCGCCAGATAGCACACAAGATAGAGCACAACCCTCTTGGTGGCCGCTCAGTGGACGGGTTGGTGTGTCCCAGGCGCGACAAAGCGTGCAAGGATGCTAAGAAGGTATGCAAGATCTTGACGAGTACAGGTCATCAGGTACATGTGGCAGCCCACTAGCTCAGGGTACTTACCACTAGGCTCAGCAGGCTCGTCGCCATCAGGAGGCGTGAGCCTATGGTTAACTGCAAGTGGAGTGGCCTATGGACAGGAGTATTGAAAACGGAACTGCTCTAGGATCTGATGCACCATGTGCGACTGCGACAGTGTAATGGTGCGCTCTACTCTGTCTCGGGTGATCTGCAAGCCGAGGTAGCGACGTAGCTCACCCAGGTCAGTGCAAGTGTGTATCCTACATAGCTCGGCCTTCACCTATGCTAGTGCAGCTCTGTCAGGCGTAGCAAAGTTAAGGTCATCGACATACACCAGTATGTGGAAGGGATTACAGCCAAAACAGACGAAGAGATACTGGTCAGCAAAAGATGGAAAGAGTCCGTGTAGTGTGTCGTGCCACTCACGAGGCGCCTGTCGTAGACCGTAGACTGGCCGCCGAGACTCCACTGGGTGCCAAGAATCGACCTAGTGAAACCAGAAGGCTGCCCTGGAGAAAAGCAGTGGAAAAGTTCAGTGAGCCAAGCTCGTAGTCACACTGTGCTGCGACGTGCAGCAACACCCGAAGAGTGGTCATCTTTGGGGTGGGGGAGAAGGTCTGAAATAAGTCTACCCCCTCTCGCTGATTGAAGCCTCTCCCCACATAATGCGCCTTGAAGACAGCCAACGATCTAGGCGATCGCTTCACTCTGAAGGTGCACATGCCATCGACTAAGATCGCCCCAGGAGGGGGAACTGCATCAACGTGGGTGCATGTGGACCTCCGAGATGCCATCTCTGCCACACCGAGGCCCGGGGTCCCAAAATCGCCTCAGTGTAGGTGCAAGGAGTCAAAACGTCGACAGTGTCTGGGTCATCCTCAGGGACTAGTAGCATGGCACAGAGATGATGAGCAGCAGTTGGAAAGCCAAGTCAAACTGTCTGTCCTCTAGAACGGCACAACCAAGGGCAAACTCACCCCGGACGGACGAAGGACGGGCAGCGTCGGTGACCAACTGAGCACCGTAGTCAAGGCGGTGGCTAGAGGCAAAGTCAGTGACAGTTGTGACAAAGTGCTGAGACAGACAAAGGAGAGCCGTATGGTGAGTGTCACGGGAGGAAAGGAGATGGGAGACTGTAGGACAAGCGGCATGGAGGAAGTCAGAGAATGGAGGAAGAAACATAGCGAGGGGCGACTGAGGAGGAGAGGGTAGTGGAGGAGGAGAATCATGAGGAGGAGAGAAACGAAGGCGCACCGAAAGTAAAAAACAGAGGACAAGGGACGAGCACAAGGGTCACGGCAAGTAGACCAGGTGGACGAGAGACGAGACGGGTCAGTAAGGAGAGGAGGAAGGGCAGAAAAAGGAGGAAAACGAGCCGAAGCAGGGTCCGGAATACCAAACAGGTAGGAGAGGGAGGCTCACGGTCAGTGGACGAACACGGAAGACCAAGTACAATCGGACGAGGCTGCTGCCGCTACTGCTGCTGCAGTCTCTGCTGCTGCTGTTGCTGCTGCTGCAGTCTCGCCGAACGACGGGGGCGGGCGTAGTCGCACCGACCTCGCAGAACCTCCGACACCAGCACCCCCGGAGCTAGCTCCACCAACGTCAGCACCCTCAACGCCGGTACCACCAGCGCCAGCACCCCCAGACCAGCACGGCCAACGTCAGCACTCCCAACAACAGTGCTACCAGCGTTAGCAACCCCAGAACCAGCTCCACCAGCGTCATCACCCCTAGAGCCAGCACCACCACCGTCAGCACCCCGAGATAGCACCCCTAGAGTCTGCACCGACAGGGTCTGCACCCTCGGCAGCCACACCCCCCGTACCAGTGCATCCAACGTCCACAGTGTCCGATCGCTACGATATGAAACCAAGCAGCAACAACAAAGGCTTCCGCGATGACTGTGAGGACGAGGATGGTGACGAGGGGTACTAGAGGATGACATGTGACACACCAGACGGGGCAAGACGCGGGGGGACGGGGGCTACCGGAAGGGTGGGACCAGGCGGGGGAGTGGCAGTGAGGAACTCAGGAGGACGGAGGAGCATGCTACCTTTGGGGGGAAGCAGACGTAAAAGGAGACAGACTTGTCAAAAGTGACGTCACAAGAGGTGAGGAAGCGGCGGGAGGGAGGGTGGTAGAAGAGCCAGTCAGGAGTGTCTAAAGGGAAACCAAGGGAGACACAGGTGACAGTGCGAGCTGAGAGCTTGTCTGCTTGACGATCGCGGACGTAACCAAG